TTCTTCAAATTAAAATGGTAATTAAAGTGCACAAAAATATCAAAATATTGATAATTAGGATCATTGATCAGGATATACTCATTATAAATTATAAATTTTCTCAAACTAGAATCATGTTGATCGCCGTTGAATTAGCCGTGAAATGTCATCTTTCAGATCTTGAGATTCCAATCCAGATCAAAAATAACAATTTTAAGTGTGGATTAAATTTTTCTCGGTAATGATAATGTTTCCAGATAACATTATCTTCTGTTTATACCCTTAGTTTATAGACTTAATAGAAATCAACGATCAATATAATAATAATAAAAAATGTTTTCTAAGCCAGAAACTACATTTTCGAATAAACTATCATAAATATCAAGAGCTAATGCTCGCAAATATTAACAAAAGACTTTAATGGTAATTAAATATTAATAACCCATTAACTTCATTTTAATATGGATAGTATAGATGTGAATAGACATTTTAAATTTTTTATTTTTACTTTTATTGTTTTTTTGTATTAAATAAAACAAATATATATATATATATATATATGTGTGTGTGGATAAAAATATTTATATATTTGATATATCTCTTTTTTTTTTATAGCAGGAATTTTCTACAATTAATCTTTTCTTCACCAAGTATGATAGAAATTTATATTTATTACAAGTTTTAGTTTTCACAATATAATGAAATATATATATTTGTCAGTTACAAATTTTTTAAAAATTATAATATCTATCATTAAAAAAGATATTGATTTTTTATGAATAAAATATAATATAAAACAGATTCTCTAAATTTGTTCTCGTAAAATCCTCTTACTAATTTATTTTAAAATTAATTTGGAAATTAAATACATTTTTTAAGGAATCATGACAAAATGAAGAAAAAAAAAATGAATATTATTATTCCAATACTTGATATCCCTTCTTCGAGTCACGTGTTCTGCATTCGATGGCACCTTGGCTATATATTAGAGTCGACAGAGCTCTAAAGGTTGAAAGATCCAAGGAAACGTGTTATAGTTTACTTATTCTTATAATTCAATATATATTTTTACAAAGATGTTTCGTATTTTATCAAGATATATCAATTTACCATTGTGTGAACAAAATACACAAAAAATCTTTAATTCTATAAATATTAGAAAAAATTCATTATGGTGTAAATGCCAAGAATCAAGAATAGGATACTCTTGTTATAAAATTAATACATCTTTAAAATATCATACGTAAGTAAAAATATTTTTATTATAATTTTTTTCATTATATATGTAAATGCAAGGAAAATATTCAATTTGATCTCTCAAAAAAAAAATACGTTTAAATATATATAGAGCGATATTTTATATATTTTATATATAAAACTTAACTCACTTAACTCTAGCTTCCACTTAACTCTAAAGTCAATGTATTAAACAATAAATAAATTTATAATTAATTAATGTTAATAATATTATATAGCCGTATTTATTTTATCATAATTATTATATCGTAGTACATTGATTATTGTATATAGTTATTTACGTAATTGAATATAAAAGATTGTTTCAAATATATGAGAATATCAATTCTCTGAAAATTTGTAAGTAATTTTTTCAATACCTTTTTTTTTGCAAATAAACAAATCCAAATAATATGTATCAAACTAAGTGTTTAACGATTGAGTACATATATATTTCAGTACATAAAAAATATATCGAATTGAGAAACAATATACTCATTATCGGTTACTTGTATAATAGTTATTCGTTTATTATTCAATATCAAATTGAAATATAAAAATAAAAATATAAAACGTTTTTTAATGAATGAATGATAAATAAGAATAATGAACTATATTACTCATCATTACGATACGTGATTCATATAATTATGATATTATTTATATTATTATTATCTATATCATACATTATTTATAAATTATAGGTATATCTCTCACAATGATTGTATAACTTGATAAATGCTAATGTTTGTAAAAAAACTTGCGAAAATATTTTTTTAAAATAGGAAAATCATTATTAAATTCGCAAACACTTTGAATTTTAACTTTGAAAAGGTTGATTAAAATTCTAATTTTTTATTCTATTAACGATTATCTTAATTTAATTTTATTACTAACATAACCCTAGGTTTGACGAGATTTATAGTGAATCAGCCCTTCTGTACTATTTACTATTTTACCACTTTAGGAGACGTAGATATCTTCAATTTTGGTTACGGTGTTCATGGACTTTCTAAATTCATTGTGGATTTTCTATGGACTTTAGCTTTTTGAATTTCAGTATATATTCAATTTCTTCGATCTATATAAATAATATTTAATTAGTTTATTCGCTGAAGACTACAGTTAATTATACTATGCGTTCGGTGATAGATCAGTTTTTTTTTTGTTAATAATTCATTTACAAAGCTACGAAAAATTTTTTAAGGAAAATATTCCTTGAAATTATTTCTAAAATCCTCACTTAACAAATATTCCTGTATTTTTTATATACTCTATATAACATTTTAATAATTAATAAAATCATGGTTGTTTTCAAGTATATTAAAAAAAAATTATATTAACAATCTATTTAAAAAATAGTATTATATCGAAAATGAAATTTGCTTCAAAATTGTTTATATAAATCGTTGATTTAGACAAATGATAGTAATCAATTCAATTTTCTTCATTCTATAGTTATATAAAAAATAAAAATTTTATAAGAAAAATAAGAACATTAATGTATAGAATATGCATATAAAATATTAAATCGAAATCATTATTGAAAAAAATAAAATTACATGAAATATTTTAAGAATATTGAAGATTAGAAGTAAAAATAATCAAAATAATATAGTCAAAACTCATTAGAACAAATGATTCGAAAATCGTATTCATAACAATAACCATTTCATTTGACAATAAAATTATTATCGTATGAACAGCAAATAAACAATTAACTATTGATTGTTTTAATTACAGAAATGATTTAAAAATAAGTATTAATTATAAGTATTATTATTAAAATTCTTTTGTTTTAGATCAAACAATATACAATTCATTGATTCGTTCAAAAATGAAAAAAATGAATTAATGGCTATGTGGCCTGATATTGTTCATGATTTGACGGAAGAAAATAATGAAGAATTATTAGATGTTAATAAATGGATAACAAAGGTATTTACTTTTTTAAATTATATCATCAAGTAATATAATTTCGAATCATGTATCATAATATCTTATGTATAAAATATATTAATACAAGATTCAAATTTTATTGAAAACTTAAATCTAATAGAACATAAGCACTTCCTTTCTAAGTAAATTATAGATTATTGCTTCAAACATTATCACAAAAAATAATATATTATACAATTCGAATTTACGCTTGCATAAATAAATTATGCTAACGTGATGATATTTTATAAACTTGCAATGATTTTTCTTTTTACAACGCTTTTTGTTTTTTAATCTTTTAATTTCATTTTCTCAAACATTATACTTTAGCGTATCAAAAATAATCAATGTATAAATACAAATATATAAAAAAAAATATTATAGAAATCTATTCTTATTAATAAAGAATTAAAGGAAACATATCATTATCGATAGATATTAAACAAATTAAAATCAGCGGTTTTTATAACTAATATGCATAATCGAAAGTTCAGAAAAAAATCTGAATATATGAAGATATCATTATACTAATTCATATATTAATGTTCCATTGATAGTAATAATCGATTTATCTAGAGCAGTCTATACGGATATTGTGTTAACTATGAATGAATATTTCGTGAATTCATATTTTCATCCTTCGTGAATATTAATCCATAAATATGATGATTAAGAACAAAAATCAAAGCAGATTTACATATAATATAAGAACAAAATAACTCAAATTTCAGTAACAATCTCAATAGTTTTAATTTAAATTTTCATTTTTATAACAGCAATTAATATAAATAAATAGGTTTACACAGGTTATTTTCCCACATTATTCTAAACTCACAATAATAATTATTCAAGAAATTTACTCCAAAACTCAATAGCAATGGCCAAATGAATCAAATTAACCAAATATTTTGCAATCGATCATGAAGGAATATATGAGAGCTCATCCATAATTGGAAATCATCTTCTAATTATTCATTCTCTTTTATTTTCTCTTAATTATATTTCCGTCGAAAATAATTAGTGGCGGAAGAATCAATGTGCGTCACAATTTCTCCACATAGTTAGAGTTTATTCAGACTCTATCATTTGCCACGAAAATCAATCAGATCATAGTTAGTTCAGAATTCAATTAAGTATCATTGAAAGATCGTAAATTTAATAAGCCATAAATTCTCAGCTATAAAAACAGTTAGAGTCAATCGTTCATTCAAAATTTGCAATATAAACAGTTATATAGTCACACATTCTATCATCATTTTAAATGGTTAACATTAATCTAATTAATGATTGTGAATATTTTTTCTATTCTAATTCGTAAAACTTATCGCTAATTACTCTTCTCTATAATTATCTTTATATATTACAGGAAAAACTAAAAGATATTGTCAGGGAGATTTTCATATTTTCTATGCATATATAATAACAAAAAAAACAAGCAAACGCTTCGGTATAAATTGTTCTGTATAAATCACAATGTACATTATAATTGCAAATTTCTTAATCTAAAACCATTTTCTATAAAAATAAATTTTCATGAAAATTGAAATTTTTATTTTATTTATATAAGAATTTCATAATATTGTGTTGATTAATATCATTCACTACGTGAAAACGTACTCGATATTACATATATATTTCACTTTCAGTTTAAGATTATATATTGGTAGAGTTATTATTTTAAAGTTGTGTGTTTCGAGAAATGATATGAAAATATATTAATTATAAGACATACAGTGAAGAGAGATTTGAGAGCCTATCGTTAGCCACTATATTCTCTTTTCTCTATATTTGTATTCGTAAACTATATTAACTATATTTTAATATCGAAACGATATTTCAACTTTTAGATATTGGAATATAATGTTCCGAAAGGAGGAAAACGAAGATCAGTACCACTTGTAATCGCATATAAATTGCTGGCATCTCAAGATCAATTAACGGAAGAAAATATTCGTTTAGCTCGCATCCTAGCCTGGTGTATAGAAATAGTAATTTTTTATTTTATTTCTTTTTTTATTTTACATTATTTTAAAATTTATCAATTAACTAACATATTTATATATTCACAAATAATAAAAAAATTGATCTCATATAAATATTTATATTTTAAATTTGTATTATTTCTTTATAGCTTTAAAATGTTTATATATATGAATATTATTATAGATGCAAGCATTTCACACAATGATAGATGATATTATAGATCGTGCAAGCATGCGACGAAATCAATCAACCTGGCATGTAAAAGTTGGATTAGGTGCAATTAATGACGCATTAATTTTAGAAACATGTATTATCAAGCTTGTTAAGAAACATTTTAAGTCGAAAAATTGTTATATGGATATCATGGATATACTTTTGAAGGTAAGTATCAAATTTTCTTATTCATATAAATAGTGCTCAAAAAAGTAATTGTTGTATTCATATATTAATTTATTAATTATTGTTTATAATAAACTCAAAATTACTATTTTTTATCGTACAGTCTCAATTTCAAAGAAAATAATAGTAATAATAATAATAATAATAATAATAATAATAATAATGATAATAATAATAATAATAATGATAATAATAATAATAATAATGATAATAATAATAATAATAATATTGATAATAATAATAAAATTTTCTTTCTATGAAAATTGAAAATTTAAAAAAAATTGTTATGATATATAAATAATCTTATCATAAAGTTGATCTAAAATATAGTGCATACTAGTTTATAATTTCGAAATAAAAAAAAAGAACATTGTATATTATCGTAATGTAATTATTTTCTTTAGAAATATACAAAAGATATAGTTTTGTTTACATTAATCATTCATGAATATTTAATATTTTACAATATATCGTTATTCGTATAATTCAAAATTTTATTTTCAATTTCTTTCATATTTCAAAAAGGATCTCAAGGATATTCGTTTTATTGATGTGACTAATGAATAATGAAATAAAGAAAATTATGAAATTTTAGACTTAAAACCGATAGTAACAATATTTCAGTAACGGAATGAAAAAAATATCACACTTTGAGTATATTTTTATTCTATATATTTCTTATATGAGAATACTTTTAAAAAATACAATTCTGAAGACAATAAATTCTGTTTTCTTTTCTATTTTGATTTTTTTAAATATTTTCCATTTTTGTTTTCGATGTTTAAATACATGTACATTAGATACTTTTCAGTAAAACGATCTTTGTACTTTTATATTTTTTTTATATCTTTATAGAAATAAATAATTTATAGAAATAATATAAATAAAAATTTTATAAAAATAAAATAATATATATAAATATATATATATATGAATAAAATTTCTCTCATAAAATATTTTGAATCGATTAGTATACACAACATATGGTTTGTTGAACTAAAAAACATTAGAATTATTAATTCCATTGAGGAAATTATTCTTTCTTTTTTTTTTCAATAGATACTTTATCAATTTTAATAAAAATCTTTTCATTAAAACTAGTATTAAAAATATGTACAATATCATACAAAACAATTTTCTACATAATGAATATATATAATAAAATATAATTTAAAAATGTGTACAATAATTTTAAATTTTAATATTTTATGTATACAGACATTTTTTTTCTATATAAACTTAGATTTTATAATAATGTAATTATTAAAATACGATTTAAATGTTTATGTAATTTCTAGTATCATAAAAAAACAGTGTATGGTGAATGTCTAGATATATTGATATCGATGGATTGGGAGAAGAAGAAAAATTTTGATGTTTTTTCTGTGGATGGATATAATACTCTAACAAAACATAAAGCATCTTATTTCTCATTTATACTTCCATTCAGTCTTGCTATGCGTTTCGTAAGTATATTTAATTGTACTATTTGATTTTATTAATTCTTATAATTGTAATATTTATATTAGAGAAGTATAAACTTTACCATTCTTCTTTACTTATTTTACTCTAATTATATATTGTTCATAGGCTGACATAATCGATCCAGAAATGCATAGAGAAGCAGAAAAAATTCTGATAAAAATAAGTCATTTTTTTCAAGTACAAAATGATTTTTTGGATTATTACAGTAAACAAGAAATCGGAGGAAAAAGTGGAACTGACATACAAGAAGGAAAATGTTCATGGCCCATTGTGACTGCATTGCAGAGAGCTACAGTCGAACAAAAGAAAATTTTAAAAGTAAACTTATCATGATTAATATCTCAAATTTATTATATTCTATTAAATGGAATAAATTATTAATAATATTAATATCATCTAGGAATGTTATGGAATAGCTGATGAAGAGAAAATAAAACGTGTGAAACAAATTTATGAAGAGATTGGTATATCAAATATCTATTGGAATTACGAAGAAAAAACCCATAATTTATTAAATACGTATATACAGCAATTATCTTCGAAACTTCCGACTGAATATTTTTTATATTTACTCGCTACATCATGTAGTAAAATAAAACGAAAAGATGAATTGTAAAAAATATTCGAGAAACGTGGGAATCCCATTATTTATAAAATTCCCAATATAATTTCAAGCGATATTTTCCTATACAAAAATTTATGCTACTTTTTGTTAACTAATACTTTTGTTAACGTATTATTAACGAGAAACGTTTATCAATTAAGTACGTAGTTATATAGCGTTGACTATCTTTATGCTATCTATCACTACGTGTCCTCATTTCAAAAAGAACAAATTGCAACAACATGTCGAAGAAACTGTATTATGTATAACAAATATTTTGTATCGATAAAAAATACATATTTGGGATAAGAAAATAAATAAGTAAAAAATTACTTAAATAATTAATTAGATAAAAAATTATTATGAATAATAAATTAAAAAAGAATTTACCAAATAAAAAAAATAAAATCAGATATTGAAGAAAGTTCTTCAAAACTTTTGTGTTGTACATCGTTATTTGTTATATATTATCATAGAGTACTTAGTCTAAACGTGAAATACGTTCTGCCGATTAAATACAAATAAATTATAGAACAGAGAAATTGTGTTATATATAACAAATATTTTTTTATTAATAAAAAATACATATTTTGTATAAAAAGAAATAAACAATTATATTACATAAAGTATATTATAAAAGAATTAACCAAATAAATAGATGAAATCAAAAAATTTTTGAAATCCTTTCCTATCTTTTTTTGAATATTGATAATATTCTGATGCACCATTTTATCTTTAAAGTTATTTTTAACAATAACATTAAATTGATAAATTATAGATAAAACATCACCGAAATATACGCAGACAATGCATCATCGGATTAATCGTATTTATCATTCACTTCACTGCATGGTTACCAATAATTAACTGTAACTATTTATAATAATAATCAATCGTTTCGTTTCGAGTAGTCGCGTTTTAATCAGTGCTTTTTGTTAATGTAAACTCGTCAATTAAAATTTTAAAGAAAATTATTGTTCGAAATTATCTTAGGAATATATTAATCGTCGTTTTTACATTTTTCGGATACCTTGTGTAGCAAAAACTGGTAATAAAATCGATACAATATTCTAGTAAAACATAAAATACAAAACATTTTACATCTCCTTTATATTTTCATCTAAACAATTTAAATGATTAAGGTATCACAAGTATCTTCAAAAATATAGTTCAAAGTTGTCCCAATTTTTAAGGTACAAAATTAAAAATTGCTCTTTTGTTTGAACGACGAAAACTAACGATGGATTATGCCTAATGAAATTCAGTCTTGCTATGCATTTCGTAAGTATATTTATTTGATTGCATTATTTGATTTTAATTATTAATATAACTTTCATATTTATATTACAAAAATATAGATTATTCCATTTTTTTTTAATTACTTTAATTTAATTATACATTATTCATATGTTGACATAATCGATCCAAAAATATATAAGGAATAAAAAAAATTATCATAAAAATAAGCCATTAAAGACGAAGATAATAAATGTATATATATTTTACAAATAATAAAAAAAATAACAGCCCAACACTGTTCTCTCCCGCAATAATGTACTGAATTTTTAAATACATGTACACATCGAATGCTGTATTGACTGAGATGTATACATGTACAATGGGTAACGAAAGTATTTGAATATTATATTTACAATTTTTGATGAACGAAATATATATGTTAAAGAAATTTGTTTAAGATAATAAAACGTATATAGTAGGAGAGAAATTTCAAGATTACGTCAGCAAAATTTGAAAATTGATTCACCAATTTATGTAGTATATTATGTAGATATAATACAATTATTACAAACACGCTGTACGTTAGTAGTACGTTAAAAAAGTATTTGAACGCTGATATGTTCTTGATAATTTTTAAACATTTTAGAGAAATATAAATTTAATATTAATTTTTTAATATTAATATAAAGTGAGATTATTTTTACGTTCACTTGATGTTAAACTATCATTCCATTAACAGTAACATAAAAGTGTGCAATATAATATTCAAAATGAATCCGAAAAAGTCTAAAACACAAAACTATGAATGAGAAATATTCCTTCGACTGTATATATCTCTTTTTTTCTGTAGAAAAAAATTTTTTACAATTAATCCTTTCTTCAACAAGTAAGATGAAAACTTTTATTTTTACAATTTTTAGCTTTCACAATATAGTAAAACATACATATATATCAGTTGCAAATTTTTTAAAAATTGTATTATCTATCATTAAAAAGAATATTGACTTTTTATGAATAAAATATAATATAAAACAGATTCTATAATTTTGTTCTCGTGAAATCCGCTTTCTGATTTATTTTAAAATTAATTTGAAAATAAAATACATTTTTTAACAAAAAATCATGACAAAATGAAGAAAAAATAATATGAATATTATTATTCCAATTGACATTCCTCCTTCACGTCACGTGTTCTGCGTTCAATGGCAACGTTGGCTATATATTAAAGTCGACTGAGCACTAAAGGTTGAAAGTTTGATCCAAGAAAACGTGTTATAGTTTACTTATTGTTATAATTCAATATATGTTTTTATAAAGATGTTTCGTATTTTATCAAGATATATCAATTTACCATTGTGTGAACGAAATACACAAAAAATCTTTAATTGTATAAATATTAGAAAAAATTCATTATGGTGTAAATGCCAAGAATCAAGAATAGGATATTCTTATTATAAAATTAATACACCTTTAAAATATCATACGTAAGTAAAAATATTTTTATTATAATTTTTTTCATTGTGTAATTTTCATATGTAAATGGAAGAAAAATATTCAATTTGATCTCTCAAAAAAAAAAATACGTTTAAATATATATAGAGCGATATATATATTTTATATATATGTAATTGACTCCATTTAATTATAAAGTCAATATATTAAATAATAAATAAATTTATAATTAATTAATATTACTAATATTATATAGCCGTACTTACTTTATTATAATTATTATATCGTATTACATTGATTATTGTATACAGTTATTTACATAATTGAATGTAAAAGATTGTTTCAAAAATTTGAGAATATCAATTCTCTATTAATAATCAATAAGTAATTTTTTACAATATTTTTTTTTGCAATAAACAATTCCAAATAACTTGTGTTAAACAATGATTATAATCATTGAGTACAAATATATATCAGAAATTGATATATAAGCATGTACTTATTATAAATTTTTTCGAACTGGTATCATGTTGATTGCTATTGAGATAGTAGAATGTAACCGTTAGGAACGGGTTCCGCTCCAAATTCAAAGTGTATCAAAAATATACAATTGTAAATATACAATCGAATATTAAACTCTGCTCAAAAACGATTATCTCAGATAACATTATCTTCAGTTTAGACTTAATAGAAATAGATGATAAAGTAATAATAGAAAAAATTTCCCATGCCAGAAAATACTTTTTCCAATAAACTGTCATAAATCTCAGGCCCAATAAATACTCGCAAAAATTAACAGAAAACTTTGATAGTATTTAAATATTAATAATCTCTTAACATTAATTTAATATGGATTCTGACAATACAGATATGGAATAGAAAAATTAAAATTTTATTTTTATTATTTTTTTTTCAATAAAACAAAAAAAATAATATGTATATATTTATATATTTATATATATATAGTATATTTATATATTTATATATTTATATATATATTTATATATATTTGATATATCTCTTTTTTTTCTATGAGAAGAATTTTTTACATTTAATTCTTTTTTGAACAAGAAAGACGAAAATTTATATTTATACAATGTTTTCGCTTTCAAATTAATAATGAGAAGAACATACAAAGTTATATCAATTAAAAGTTTTTTAAAAGTTGTATTTTCTATCAATAAAAAAAATATTGATTTTTTATGAATAAAATATAAAATAAAATAGATTTTCTAATTTTATTTGAGTGATCCTCTAAAATCCTTGTTTTCTGATTTAATTTGAAATTAATTTTAATATTAAATATTATTTTTTTAAGAAAATAAAATAAAGAAAATTTAATTTTATAATTTCTTATTTACAAATTTTTTAAAATTTTTGCAATTTTTGTAAGTTTAATAACTTGGACCATTGATTTTTGTTTTATAATTATCAATAATAATAATGAAAATTGTAAAAAAGTTTATATTTTTGATAGATTGTAAAAATATCTTTTGGGATTAAGAAATAATTATTTATTGTGACTAATATATCCATGCCAATATAAAATGTCAATCGTTTATATTATAAATTGATGTAAATATATTTATATTAGATAATGTTAGATTTTTCATATTAATGCTCTGAAATTGATAAATGAAATTTTTCAAATTGTTAATTATATATATAATATATATATATATATATATATAATATGAAATTGTTAATTATGTACATATACAATGATATCTTTAGCAATTAACTTCGAGTAAAAATTATCATTTATCGTAATAAGATATCAATAAAAAAAAATTAATATAAATATTATTATTCCATTATTTGAAATCCCATATATTCAATTCAGTAATGGCGAATTTGGCTATATATTATAGCCGATTCAGCAAATTCAAATATCCAAGAAAATGTATTATAGTTTACTCATTGATAATAATTAGATATAATTGAAATGTTTAATATTTTATCAAGATATATCAATTTATCGTTGTGTGAACGAAATACACAAAAAATCGTTAATTTTATAAATATTAGAAAAAATTCATAAAAAAATATCAAAAATCAAGAATAGAATATTCTTGTTATATATGTAAATTCTTGTTATATATATATATGTACCCTTAAAATATCATACGTAAGTATAAAATAAAAAATATTTTTATAATAATTTTTTTCATTATATATGTAAATGGAAGGAAAATATTCAATTTGATCTCTAAAAAAAAAATACATTTATTAAATATATATTTAAATATATTTTTAATTTTTTAATTAAATTTAATATATATTTATTAAATATATTATTATTAATATATATCTTATCATGTAATTGACTT